ATTGTAGGTCAACTATAAATTCCAGCAACTACAACTCCCAAATGATAAAATCAATCCCCCCCAACCCCATAAAATTTAGGCGTATTGGATATTTCTGTCAAATTTGGTCAAGTGAATGAAAATACTGCATATCAGATATTTACATTACAATTCATAATAGTAGCAAAATTACAGTTATGAAGTAGCAACAAAAATAATTTTATGGTTGGGGGTCACCACAACATGAAGAACTGTATTAAGGGGTCGCGGCATTGGGAAGTTTGAACACCACTGTTCCAAAGGGACTCTAGTGACCTTCTAGCCATAACCTTGTTGACAACAAGGCTTTATTTTTCCCTTTGTAACTCAACGCCTAGAAGTATTTTCCTGATTATCCAGCCTGAGTCTGTTTTTCTCCAACTCGGCTCCTATGTGATTCCTTCTATTTGGAGGATCCAAAGGTAAAAAAATAGGTAGGCGGAGGGAAAGGCTCCAAAAAGAACCTCTGAATGGAGCTCACGCCCTTTTTAATGAGGCTGGAAAGTCCCACATGCAAATGTGCAAAACATACTACACCCAGGCTAAAATATAGGTCGATTGCAAGGGACTCAGAGCGGCTTATAATTAATATGTAAATACAATATATTATAATATTACCATAGCACAATATTACTATTATATATTATATTGTACTATACCACTATACTGTAATATTAGCAATATTACATGTAATATAAAATATATAATTTAAATATCGTATTATTATTATTATTCTGATACTGTATTACATTACAATATTATCAATATTGTATGTATATCTACCTGTCTGAATGCATCTCCCCCTATGAACCATCACGGAGATTAAGATCCTCTGGGGAGGCCCTGCTTTCCGTCCTGCCATTGTAACAGGCACGATTGGTGGGGACGAGAGACAGGGCCTTCTTTGTGATTGCTCCCCGACTATGGAACTCCCTTCCTGGTGAGATCAGGTCGGCCCCCTCTCTCCTGTCCTTTAGAAGGATGGTAAAAACTTGGCTGTGGGACCAAGCTTTCGGGACAGGGCAATAAAGCGGCAATAGGAAAGATTACCAGCCCAATTAGATTTTACATGGATGACTAGGACGGTTTTAAATGGTGTATTTTAATATTTTAATATTTTGATAAATGTTTTAAAATGTTTTTGTATTGTATGTGAATTTGTGTCCCGACATTGAATGTTTGCCTTATATATGCTGTGCTCTGCCCTGAGTCGCCTTCGGGGTGAGAAAGGCGGAATATAAATGCTTAAAATAAATCAATCAATCAATATAAATAAAATGTAACGTTCGTTTGTGGGATTAACAGAACTCAAAAATCACTGGACGAATTGATACCAAATTAGGACACAAGACACCTATCAGGGCAATGTATGGCCTTCACTCAAAAAAATTGATTTTGTCATTTGGGAGTTGTAGTTGCTGGGATTTATAGTTCACCTACAATCACAGAGCATTTTGAACCCCATCAATGATAGAATTGGGCCAAACTTCCCACACAGAACCCCCATGTAAGCCACAGCAACACGTGGCAGGGGATGGCTAGTAAATAAATAAAAATGTAATGTTCGTTTGTGGGATGAACATAACTCAAAAACCATGGGACGAATTGACACCAAATTTGGACACAAAACAGATACCAAGCCAAAGAGTGACCATCCCTCACAAAAACACTGAAAAAGAGACTTTAAAAGCCATTAAAAAATTACAACACATGTGCAAAACCACATATATACCATGTATACACATATACACAAATATACACACACAAAACACATATACACAGACCGGGTCACAGCAACACATGGCAGGGGACGAATAATAATAAAAATACTTTATTTATACCCCGCTACCATCTCCCCAAGGGTCTCAGTGCGGATTACATGAGGCTGAGCCCACAATACAACAATACAAGCAATAACAATACAAAGCAATTCAAATAAATCTCATACACAGAATAACATAAACATTAACAATAGCACTATACACATTTAAAATAATATATTATATTATTGATAATATTGTTATATCTATTTATCCATCTATCTATCCCCTCTCTCTTCATCCATGTAGAAAGCCAACATGGCATAATGGGCCAACTTCGGCCCTTCAGGTGTTTTGGACTTCAATTCCCACAACTCCACAAAAAGGAATTGTGAGGGTTGAAGTCCAAAACACCTAGAGGGCAAAGTTGGCCTATGCCTGGTGTAGATGCATCTCATGTGTTGCCTCGATTTCTATAAGCCTCAAGCAAGCTAAGGGTCTGTTATATAATCAACTCCAGGCTGATGAAACACCATAGTTACAAGACCATACAGCTATCTTATCATATCTTGCATACCTTTGCATTTCTGGAGACCTACAGTAAAAGCACAAGGGTGACTCGCTCTAACTCTGTTTAAAGTCCACAACAGTACACCTTGAACCGGTTTCTGTGCCTTTCGTCAGCCGCCCTGTGTCAGGTTCTTCAAGTCACTGGGGGAAAGGCCGCTCCCCTTCTTCCGCATCTGAACGGTTTTGCAAATGGAACTGGAATAATTCTTCACCTTCCTCCAGAAACTGGGCATTTATTAATCAAGCTTCAATAGCAGAACTTGGAAAAGTTGCAATGTATCGAGACAACTCCCAAAGAGCCATGCTTTTTATAATACCATCCTGGAAAGGTTATTGTAACAGGTTATGGTTGTCATAAAAAGGTAAAGGTTTCCCTTTGACATTCAGTCCAGTCGTATCCGACTCTGGGGGTTGGTGTGCATCTCCATTTCTAAGCCAAAAAGCGGGTGTTGTCCGTAGACACCTCCAGTCATGTGGTCAGCATGACTGCATGGAGCACCGTTACCATCCCACCGAAGTGGTACCTATTGATCTACTCACATTTCCATGTTGTCAAACTGCTAGGTTGGCAGAAGCTGGGGCTGACAGTGAGAGCTCACCCCACTCCCCAGATTCAAACTGCCAACTTTCAGTCAGCAAGTTCAACAGCTCAGCGGTTTAATCGGCTGCACCACAGAGGGCTCCTTGGTTGTCATAGCTCAAAGGTTTTTCAAGTAGGAAAACTCCCAACAGGAATTGGTTTGATAGTGCAAATGGCTATATTCAATTTTAACATTTCCCTATCGTGTGTTTTAATTGCCTTGTTATTTTAACTTATGAGCCAGTTTTGAGTCTGTTTCGGGTTTTAAAAAATCAGGATATTATTATCATCCTTATTTATAATATTTATTTATACCCCACTTTATCTCCCTCGGTGGCGCAGTGGGTTAAACCACTGAGCTGCTGAACTTGCTGACCAAAAGGTCGCTGGTTCGAATCCGGGGAGCAGGTGAGCTCCCACTGCTAGCCTCAGCTTCTGCCAACCTAGCAGTTCGAAAACATGCAAATGTGAGTAGATCAATAGGTACCACTCCGGCGGGAAGGTAACGGTGCATCATGCACTCATGCTGGCCACATGACCTTGGAGGTGTCTACAGACAACGCCAGCTCTTCGGCTTAGAAATGGAGACGAGCACCATCCATCAGAGTCAAACACGACTGGACTTAATGTCAGGGGACAACCTTTACGTACCTAATATATTAAATATATTTACTACTGATAATAACATAACACATCATGTTTTATTATGGTATATTTGTAGTTTTTTAAGTTGTAATGTTTTTGATTGTGAGCCGCTTTGCGTCTCTTTATGGAAAGATATAAAATAAATAAAAATAAAATAATATTAATAATAATATACAAACATTAAAACAGTATTAAATAGGATCAATATTAAAAACAATTCAGTTTAGATCCATAAAAATATTACGAGAATAATAATGATGATGATGATGATAATGATAATAAATTACTACTGGCTGCATACTACAGAGCTTGTAATGAGAATAAACAAATAAAAATAAAATAATAATATTAATAATAATATACAAACATTAAAACAGTATAAAACAGGATAAATATTAAAAACAATTCAGTTTAGATCCATAAAAATATTATAAGAATAATAATGATATATTTTTTTGTCGTGTCAGGAGTTGCTCCTGTTGTGAGAGAATTGGCCATCTGCAAGGACGTTGCCCAGGGGACGCCCGGATGATTTGATGTTTTATCCTTGTGGGAGGCTTCTCTCATGTCCTCGCATGAGGATCTGGAGCTGATAGAGGGAGCTCATCAGCCTCTCCCCGGATTCGAACCTGCGACCTGTCGATCTTCAATCCTGCCGGCACAGGGCTTTAACCCACTGCGCCACCGGGGGCTGCAATAATGATAATAATAATAAGTATGCAGCCAGTTGTAATTAATAATTATAATAATGATAATGATAATAATAATTACAACTGGCTGCATACTACAGAGCTTGTAATAAGAATAAACAAATTAAAATAATAATAATAATGATAATAATATACAAACATTAAAACAGTATTTAATAGGATCAATATTAAAAACAATTCAGTTTAGAACCATAAAAATATAATAATGATGATGATGATGATGATGAATTACTCCTGGCTGCATACTACAGAGCTTGCAATGAGAATAAACAAATAAAAATAAAATAATAATAATAATAATATACAAACATTAAAACAGTATTTAATAGGATCAATATTAAAAAACAATTCAGTTTAGATCCATAACAATATTACAATAATAATAATAATAATAATAATAATAATAATAATAATAATGAATTACTCCTGGCTGCATACTACAGAGCTTGTAAAGAGAAACCCATGTGGCAGGGCGGCCATCTTGGGAGTGGGCTGCAAGGGGCGGGGCCAAGAGGTGACCTCTGCAATGCGAGGCCGAGGGGCGGCTCTCTTGAGAGCGGGCAGAGGGGGCGGGGCCAAGAAGCAGCGTCGTGCGTGCCTCAAAGTGGCGGCCATTTTGAGAGCGGGCTGCGAGATGGGAGGGAATAGAAGGGCGGCCATCTTGAGAGCGGGCCGAGGAGAGGAAAATAGGAGCGCAGCGTGCGAGGCGGAAAAGCGGCCATCTTGGGAGTGGTCTGTGAAGGAAGCGAGCCGCCAGCTTTTAAGATGGCGGCGCCGGCTCCTTTTCCTAGTCTCCCTTCTGTTTTTTCCTGAGGTGAAATCCTCATTTTTTTCCTCATCGAAAGGACTCATCCGAGGATGGCTTCTTTGCTGCGGCTTCTCCTCCGGGGAAGCTTCCGAAGGTTGGGACCGAGGGCTTTTCTGGTGAACGGGGCTTTTCGTGGCGTCTGCTCCGGCCCGCCTCTCAGGAAAGGCCCAGGCTGCGGCCTTCAGGTAAAGGAGGAATCCACACTTGGGCCCTTTGCTTTCTCAGGATCGAATTAATGTTGTCTTTGTGCTGGGAAAGTTCCATTGTAGAACTACAAGTCCTTCAGGCATTCCCAGATAGGAAATCTGTAATAATTTTAATAATGATAATAGTAAGGACTAGCCATCCCCTGCCACGCGTTGCTGTGGCCCACATGGGGGTTCTGTGTGGGAGGTCTGGCCCAATTCTATCATTGGTGGGGTTCAGAATGCTCTTTGATTGTAGGTGAACTATAAATCCCAGTAACTACAACTCCCAAATGTCAAAGTCAATTTTCCCCAAACTCCATCTATGTTCATATTTGGTCGTATTGAGTGCTTGTGCCAAGTTTGGTCCAGATCCATCTTTGTTTGAGTCCACAGTGCTCTCTGGATGTAGATGAACAACAACTCCCAAACTCAAGGTCAATGTCCACCAAACACTTCCAGTATTTTCTGTTCGTCGTGGGAGTTCTGTGTGCCAATTTTGGTTCAATTCCATCGTTGCTGGCGTTCAGAATGCTCTTTGTTTGTAGGTTAACTATACTCCCAGCAACTATAACTCCCAAATGACAAAATCATAATTTTTTGAGTGATGGTCACTCCTTGTGTTGTGAGACGTTTTGTTGCCAAATTTGGTGTGATTTCGTTCATTGGTTCTTTTCTTTTTAAGGTACTCATTATGCACAGAGCATTTTATATATATATATATATATATATATATATATATAGTAATAATGATAGTAATAGAAGTATCGATAACAATAATAATGAGAGTAATAGTCGTAATGATAACAGTAATGATAACAGTGATCATAGCAATAACGATAAGTCATGATAAAACCTTTACCTTTACCTAACAGTTGTTACGAATTATGGGAGTTACAAGTTAAATATAATATAATGTAATATAATATATTGTATATACATATAATATTTATAATATTATAATGCAATACAATATAATAATGATATTATAATTATATATTTTATATTACACGTAATGTTACAATATAATGGTATAGTATTTATTTATTTATCATGTCATCAGCAACCATACCATTGTATTACATTTCTAACAGAACAAAACAAACAGATTAAAAAAGCACAAATTTTGCAAACTTGGTAGTTGATTAAATGTCCTTTGACCAGTATCTGGCCACTTGGAGTGCCTCTGGTGTTCCTGCAAGAAGGTCCTCCATTGTGCATGTGGCAGGGCTCAGGATGCATTGCAGCAGGTGGTCAGTGGTTTTCTCCTCTCCACACTCGCATGTCGTGGATTCAACTTTGTAGCCCCATTTCTGAAGGTTGGCTCTGCATCTCGTGGTGCCAGAGCGCAGTCTGTTCAGCGCCTTCCAAGTCGCCCAGTCTTCTGTGTGCCCAGGGGGGATTCTCTCATTTGGTATCAGCCATTGATTGAGGTTCTGGGTTTGAGCCTGCCACTTTTGGACTCTCGCTTGCTGAGGTGTTCCGGCGAGTGTCTCTGTAGATCTTAGAAAATTATTTCTTGATTTAAGTCGTTGACGTGCTGGTTGATACCCAAACAAGGAATGAGCTGGAGATGTCTCTACCTTGGTCCTTTCACTATTGGCTGCTACTTCCCGGCGGATGTCAGGTGGTGCAATACCGGCTAAACAGTGTAATTTCTCCAGTGGTGTAGGGCGCAGACAGCCCGTGATAATGCGGAATGTTTCATTAAGAGCCACATCTGCCATTTTAGCGTGGTGAGATATGTTCCATACTGGGCATGCATACTCAGCAGTGTAGCATAGCGCAGGGGCAGATGTCTTCACCGTGTCTGGTTGTGATCCCCAGGTTTTGCCAGTCAGCTTTCATATAATATTGTTTCTAGCACCCACTTTTTGCTTGATGTTCAGGCAGTGCTTCTTGTAGGTCAGAGCACGGTCCAGAGTGACTCCCAGGTATTTGGGTGCGTTGCAATGCTCCAGTGGGATTCATTCCCAGGTAATCCTCAGAGCTCGGGATGCTTGTCTGTTCTTGAGATGAAAAGCACATGTCTGTGTTTTAGATTAGGGATCAGCTAGTTTCCCCTGTAATAGGCAGTAAGAGCACCTAGAGCAGTGGTTCTCAACCTGTGGGTCCCCAGGTGTTTTGGCCTACAACTCCCAGAAATCCCAGCCAGTTTCCCAGCTGTTAGGATTTCTGGGAGTTGAAGGCCAAAACATCTGGGGACCCACAGGTTGAGAACCACTGACCTAGAGCTTCGGAGAGCTTCTCTTCAACCATCTCAAAGCTCCCTGCTTGAATGGTAATGGCACGATCATTAGCATAGATGAAACTCTCTGTCCATTCTGGAAGTGGCTCATCATTTGTGTAAATGTTGAACCAGGATGGAGCAAGCACGCTCCCCTGAGGCAGGCTGTTCTTCTGTTTCCGCCATCTGCTTCTCTTGCCCTGGAACTCAACAAAAAAGCTCCTGTGTAGCAGGTTTCCTATGAGGCGGGTGAGGTGGTAATCCTTTGTGATATTATACATTTTTCTCAGGAGGAGGCGGTGGTTTACGGTATCATAAGCCGCTGACAGGTCTATGAAGACAGCTCCTGTGATCTGCTGCCTTTCAAAGCCATCTTCTATGTGCTGAGTCAAGTTCAGATAATAGTGGTAACAGTAATAATGAAAGTGGTAGCGGTGATAGTCATAATAATAATAATAATAATATTACAGTGAGTTTTCCAGGCTGTCTGGCCATGTTCCAGAAGCATTCTCTCCTGACGTTATGCCCACATTCTGGCAGGCATCTTCAGAGGTTGTGAGGTCTGTTGGAAACTAGGACAATGGGGTTTCTATATTTATTTATTTACGACATTTATATGCCGCCCTTTTCACCACGAAGAGGACTCACAATATACTATATTATTAGCATAGTACAATATTAGTATTGTACATTACTATATTGTACTAAACTATTATATTGTAATATTAGTAATATTACATGTAATATAAAATATAATTATAATATATTATTAGTATTATATTGTATTATATTATAATATTATAAGTATTACATGTATATACAATATATTACATTACATTATTAGTATAGTACAGGAGACAAGATGGAACTGTCCCCTGGCCCCCTCTCTCTTCACTCTGGCCCAGAGTGGCAGTTGGTAATAATGAATAATAGTAATAATGAAAGTGGTAATAATGACAATAAATAGTATAATGGGTTGCTGTGAGTTTTCCAGGCTGTTTGGCCATGTTCCAGAAGCATTCTCTTCTGACATTTTGTCCATATTTTGGCAGGCATCCTCAGAGGTTGTGAGGTCTGTTGGAAATGAGGAAACTGGGGTTTCTATATCTGTTGAATAATGTCCAGGGTAGGAGAAAGACCTCTTGTCTGCATGAGGCAAGTGTGAATGTTGCAATTGGCCACCTTGATTAGCATTTAATAGCCTTGCAGCTTCAAGGCTTGGCTGCTTCCTGCCTGGGGGAATCCTTTGTTGGGAGGTGATTAGCTGGCCCTGATTGTTTCTTGTCTGGAATGCCCTGTTTTTTCTGATTGTTGTACTTTATTCACTAGTATTATTATTATTATTATTATTATTATTATTATTATTATTATGTTATTATTATGGCCAGAATCACTGGGTTGCTGTGAGTTTTCTGGGCTGTCTGGCCATGTTCCAGAAGCATATCAGGGGAAAATCTTTACCTTTTACTATGTCATCTCATATGTTCAAAATATAGCTGCTTCGATGTGTTGTCAAAGGCTTTCATGGCCGGAATCACTGGGTTGCTGTGAGTTTTCCTGGCTGTCTGGCCATGTTCGAGAAGCATTCTCTCCTGATGTTTCGCCTGCATCTATGGCAGGCATCCTCAGAGTTTGTGAGGTCTGTTGGAAACTAGGAACATATGGTTTATATATCTGTGGAATGATGGGTGGGAGAAAGAACTCTTGTCTATTTGAGGTAGGTGTGAATTGGTCACCTTGTTTAGCATTTAATGACCTTGCAGCTTCAATGTCTGGCCACTTACTGCCTGGGGGAATCCTTTGTTGGAAGGCAATTAGCTGGCTCTGATGGTTTCTTGTCTGGAATTCCCCCGTTTTCTGATTGTTGTTCTTTATTCACTAGTAGCCAGATTTTGTACATTTTCATGCTTTTCTCCTTCCTGTTGAAATTGTTCACATGCTTCTTGTGGATTTCAGTGGCTTCTCTGTGTAGCCTGACATGGTGGTTGTCAGAGTAGTCCAGCCTTTCTGTGTTCTCGAATAATGTGCTCTGTCCAGGTTGGATGATCAAGTGCTCTGCTGAGGCTGACTTCTCTGATTGAATAATGACAACAGTGATAATGAGAGTAATAATAATAGTAATAATAGCAGTAGTGATAATAGTAGTAATAGTTATAATAGTAGTATTGATGATAATGGTAATAGTGCCAATAATGATAATAGTAATAATGATAATAATAGTAAAAAAAAGTAATAGTGATAATAGTAATAATGATAGTAATGATTCTAATCGTAATAATAGTCTCCAAGCTTGGATTCTGTAATAATAGAATAATTAATAATCTATCTATCTTCTATACATCTTCTATCCATCCAAATAATAAAAGTGAAAATGTGTATGTGGCAGAGCTGTCCACTTACACACAGATTCCCATTTCTCACAAAGAGCTAGGTTGGGGGTGGGAATGAACCCCCTCAATAACGGATTTGGACCAAACTTGTTACACAGACCAAACATGCCCAAACGTGAACACAGGCAGAGTCTGGGGGTGATTGCTCTGGGACTCTGGGAGTTGTGGTTCACCTGCATCCAGAGGAACAGTGGCCCTCACCGACAATGGACTGGGACCACACTTGGCACAGAGAAGCGCCATGACCAACTCAACATACCGTCCTGCTGGGGTTTGTGGGAATTGACATTGATTTTGGGAGTTGTAGTTCACCTGCATTCAGAGAGCACTGAACCCAGCCAACTTTGGATCTGGACCAAACTTGGCACACAGATGCAATATGGCCAACTGTACATGCAGACCTGGTTTGGGGAGGATTGACCCGCGATTTTGGGAATTGTAGTTCACCCACATCTTTATACATTTTCCAACAGGAGCATTCATAAACAATGAAATTGAAGACTGGCTTTTTTTCTAATAAATAGTGTTGCTAGTTAACTAAATGATATTACCTAACCCCCCAAAACAAACAATGCCTTTTTCAAATAATCGGGGTATCGCCAGGTACCCAGACTAGTAATAGTAGCAATAATGATAATAATAATAATAATAATAATAGTAATGATGATAATGATGATAATGATAATAATAATAATAATAATAATAATAAGTAGTTGATGTTTTACGTACTTGTTTTTCAATAGAGTCTGGATTCTATCACAATAGAATAATTAATAATAACGTAATAAGATATCTTGTAAATCATTAATAATAATGATGAAAGCAATAGTAGTAATGATAATAATAGTAATATTAGTAATAATAATAATAGTCTGTAAGTAGTTAATGTTTTACCTACTTGTTTTTAAGTAGAGCCTGGAGTCTATAATAATAGAATAATTAATAATAATGTAATAAAATATCTTGGAAATCATTAATAATAATGATAGTAATAGTAGTCGTGATAATAGTAGTAATAACAGCAATAGTAATACTCTGTAAATTAATGTTGTACCTGCTTGTTTTTAAATAGAGCCCGTATTCTATAATAATAGAATAATAATTAATAATAATAATAGAATAATTAATAATAGTAATAATGATAATAATAGTAATAATGATAATAGTAATAATAATAGTTTCCAAGTAGTTAATGTTTTACCTCCTTGTTTTTAAATAGTGCCTGATTTGTATTCTATTTTAGTGACTCTAGTCTTTAGGTTTTATATTGCAGTTTTGTTAGTCCTGTTTGTGTCCCTTTTGAGAGAGAAAAAAGTGGTTTATAAGTAAAAATAATAATACTGTTTATATCCTTCTTTCCTCTTTAAATGAAACTCAAAGTGGCCATGTCTAGACATTAAATAGGCACATTATTCTACCCAAAGTTCATTTACCAAAATGTTTTAAATCAGTTTTGGACATGAAGCCAAGTTGCGATGACTTGAAGGCACACAAAAATGGCATATTATGTATGGTGAGCTAGGCCTCTTCTCCTTTTACAATGTGTACATCCCATTGAATGCAGTGCCCTCCTTCGCAAGTGCCTCTCTCTTGACTAAAAGGCCTCCCTTGTCTCTCCTCAGGGCCTTCTCTCGCAGCTGCTTTCCCCCAAATCTGGAGAACTCACTCAGTCTGTGCTGAAAAGGCAAAATACTCCCTTCTTCCTCTGGAAACTTCTCAGTGAGTAAGAAAATACTTTTTCTCTCCCTTGACGACAACAATGGGGTCTTTCCCCGCAGCTTCTTCTTGCCGCTCCAGAGATCAAAGTGTTGACCATCATTCTCTTCCTTCTGCCTCTTCTGCGCTTCGGTTTCCTCTCTTACTGTGATTCCTGCACACAGATCACAGCACAAGCTCCTTCAAGGATGATTCTTAACTCAGAGGGCAATGGGCAGCTAAATCGCTTTCCCCCAAAAGATGAGGACTTTTCATACGGAAACCACACTCAGGGTGCATCTTCACTGTTGATGTAATGCAGTTTGACAGTGGTTTAACTGCCATTGCTCCCTGCTGTGGAATCACAGGAAATGCTAAAGAGTGCTAGTGCCACACTACACTCCAAATCCCAGAGTTCCATAGCCTTGAGCCATAGCAGTTAAAGTGGTGTAAAACTGCGTTCATTCGACAGTGTAGATCAGGCATGGGAAAACTTGGGCCCTCCAAGTGTTTTGGACTTCAGCTCCCACAATTTCTTACAGCCTACCAGCTGGAAGGCCCGAATTTGGCCATGCTTGGTGTTGATTCACCCTCAGTGGTAGTGAGGGTGAGATAGCTTTCTCAGTTCCTGCCCTGTCCCAACAACACACAGGGGGATTCAGCCCTTTCTTTCTCCAGATCGACCTTTACACATTCTCAGTTGGAGTTTTGAAAGCAACACTGCAAGACATAAACATGCATGTAGCAAAGCATACACAAGAGAGCCAGAACATTGTCTTATGGGGTTCCGCAGGGGTCAGTACTGCCTCCCATGTTGTTTACCATCTACATGAAGCTGCTGAGAGAGATCATCCGTAGTTTTGGAGTCCGATGTCACCTGTATGCAGATGACGTCCAAATGTCACTCCTTTCCACCTACTACTAAGGAGGCTGTTCAGGTTCTGAACTGGTGCTTGGCAGCTGTGATGAATAATAATAATTATTATTATTAAACTTTATTTGTACCCCGCTAGCATCTCCCGAAGGACTCGATGCGGCTTACAAAGGCCAAGGCCTCAACACACAATACAACAATACAAACCTAAAACAAATTAAAAACAGTTAAGCAAACTAAACAAGTAATAAACAATACACTAAGACGCAATAAAACTGGGCCGGGCCAGTGTAATGGGTACAAGAATTAAAATTGAAATTGAATCCAAGAGAGAGGTACTCCTGGTCAGTCATAAGTCCAAACAGGACATAGGGTTACATCCTGTGTTAGATGAGCTTACACTCCCCTTGAAAACACAGGTTCGCAGCTTGGGAGTTCTCCTGGACTCATTGCTGAGCCTGGAACCCCAGGTCTTGGCAGTGGCCAGGGGAGCATTTGCACAATTAAATCTTGTGTGCCAGTTGCGCCTGTATCTTGGGAAGTTTGACTTGGCCATGGTAGTCCACAGTCTGGTTACATCCTGTATAGACTACTGCAATGCGCTCTACATGGGGTTGCCTTTGAAGGCTGTTCAGAAGCTTCAAGTGGTCCAACGGGTGGCAGCCAGATTGCTCACCGTAGGAGCGTTCAGGGAGCATATAACTCCTCTGTTACGCCAATGCCACTGGCTGCCAGTTTGCTACCAATTCAGAGTGCTGGCTGTAGCCTATAAAGCTCTGAACAATTCTGACCCAACTTACCCGTCTGAATGTATTTCTCCCTATGAACCATGTAAAAGTTTAAGATTGTCTGGGGAGGCCCTGCTCTCAGTCCTACCTTCTTTGCAGGCGCAACTGGCAGGGAAGAGAGACAGGGCCTTCTCAATGGTGGCCCCTCGGATGTGGAATGCCCTCCCCAGGGATATTAGATCACCCACCCCTCCCTTTTGACCTTCCTTAAGAAAGTGAAAACGTGGACAAACCTTTGGAATCTAGTGGAACAGTCAAACACAGAATTCGATGAAAGTAAACATTAGAACGGCTCAAATTTTTTTGAACAATGAGACTAAAAATAAAGGCATTGGTTTTATATGTTTTTAAAGATGTTATTGACTGTACTTTAAATTCTGCTAATTGTATATTGTTAGACATCAATTGCTGCCTGCTTGTAAGCTGCCTTGAGTTACCTTCGAGTTTGAGAAAGGTGGGATAGAAATATAAATAAATAAACTGACTGTATGTTTGTGTGTTTGTTTTTTTAATAGATGGCACATGCTATTTTTCTACTTCCGGCTCTCATCGCAATGGCGGCAGTGGCAGTGGAGGGTCCAAAGGGAAATCCCCAGAGGAAGATGAGGGTAAGTACAAGTTCAGTTTCTGCCATTACCTGCCCTGCCAGGAATGAGACTGTGAACCAAAAGAAAAAAAAAACCAAATCCATTTTATATACATGCAGTCCCCAAATTACAGGATTACATACGACTCATAGTTACAAAGTGGGGAGAGGCAACAGCAAGTGAGAAGGGAAGGGAAATTCACTGAAAGATGTCTCCACTGAAGGTTTCTCAGTAATCCTTGTTTCCATAAAAAGCAATTTTTTTCAAAATCCATTTGTTACAGGGACAGAAAGTGAGGTGAAAGCCTGAAAACCACCCAACACCCCATAAGTGAAATCTTCTTAACAGGGCCACAGACAGAAAAACAAACCCAGAGGTGTTAACTTTTGCTGTCCAAAACATACATGCATACATATGTGTGTGTGTGTGCATGCATCAGCTGGAGTACCTGTTCTGACTAACATACAAATTTAACTTAAAAACAAACCTACGGAACCTCTTGTCTATAATGTGGGGACTGCCTGTATTCTTATTGTCCTCACTGATAACAAAGTGCTAATTATTACAGGTATGCAGTAACTTGCAAACTTCAAGGGCAAGCTGAAATATTTTGTGGGGGAAGGGGTAATAACAACATTATGTTTTATTTTATTTATTTTTAATATGTATTTAATTTGGTTTTATTTTACTTCTCTGTTTCTGACCTGGAGTGTTCAGATTGTGTCTATTGCATTTTAATCTTTATTCTGTGCATATTAATATGTGTATTTTGGAGAAATACATTTGAATATATGTATTTACTTAATATTTTATGATGATGATGTGTTTTAACTATGTTATGCCTTGCCTCAAGCTGTGTGGAGGGTTGGGTGAGAAAGAAAAAGTGTTGTTGTTGTTGTTGTTATTATTATTATTATTATTATTATTATTATTATTATTATTATTTTATGAATATTTCCTGAATACACATGCATTCCATTGGATATGGGGTCTGTCTCATTCGAAATATCATTGGGATCAGAAGCTACTATCACAAAGCAGGGGTGTTCCATTTTGATCCTGATACATGGAGGGTTGCTGCAAAACTGAACGGATGAAGAGGATTGTGGTTATGGGCCTGATCTCCCTAAGCAGAATAGTGAGGCGGTATAACAGTCTGTTTAACAGTTCTCTGCAGATATTAACCAGGCAATGGGCTAGCCCAGGCATGAGCAAACTTTGGGCCTCCAGGTGTTTTGGACTGCAACTCCAAAACACCAAAACAAGTTGTAGCCCAAAACACCTTGCGGCCCAAAGTTTGCCCATGCATAGGCTAGACTAAAACCTTGTTCCTGGGACCTTCCGTTTGCAGTGAATATTCAGACGCCATTCCTCCAATCCATGGGATACAGTGTTGTATCCTGTTCTTCCACTTCCCTATCCTGCATCTGTAGAGTGCCATCAAATAATACAGGGGTATTTTTTAAAGATTTCCCCTGACCCCCTTCCTGTGGACTGAGAACAAAGAAACTTGGCCCAGTTCTGAGTCCTTCTCTCCATCGGTGCCACCTCGGGACACACACTTCTCCCATCTTTTGAAGCAATTGTAAACACCTCGCTTGTAGAAGTCAACAGGTTGCTCCAAAAGCCATGTTATGACTTTGGAAATCAGTCTCCTCATCTGAAAAATGCTGTCCATTCAAGAATAACTTCCTTTTTGGAAAGAGGTGAAAGTGCAGTAGTGTGAGGTCGGCTGAATATTTGAAAATTCAAATTTCAAAGTCACAGGAACATGGTTCCATTTGGGCAACATGTGAGTTGTGAACTAGTGCACCATCTTGCAGAAGTGAGCATGCCACGTCTCTTGGTTTTGATGGCCTCTCGCAATTTCTGCAGCAGTGAAACCTAGTCTGCCCCAGTGATTATGGTCCCCTTTGCTAGGAAATCCATCAATACTACTCCGTGCTGGTCCTAAAATACTGTGAGCATGACCTTGCCTGTCGAGAGTTGGGCATGGGCCTTGTTTGGAGGTGGTGAGTCAGAATGCTTCCATGGCATTGCCTGGACTTTAGTCTCAGGATCAGAGTGATGGACCCAGCTTTCCTCCTGTGTGATCAGCAGTTGAAAAAGTCCTCCTGGTTTCCATGGCACATCATTGTCAAGAGAGCCTGAGAGCATTGGACTCGTTTGTGCTTCTGGAAAGGTGTGAGCAGACGGGAGACCCAGCGAGCGGATACCTTATGCATGTGAAGAGGGTCTTGGGTGAATTTTTCCATGAACCCCACACTGGTCTTGATATTTTGGGCTATGTGGCAAATGGTTACGTGGCCATTTTCCAAAATGGCGACCTCCACTTGCTGGATGGTGTGTTCATTAATTGGAGATGTTTGGACCGGTCTGATCACATCAGGCCCTGTTTACATCCAGACCGTTATCAGTTCTGAGCTGTAAATTGGCACATAACCTATAGAGACTTATATCATTACACATGCGTTTTCAGCGTCCTGTGATAAATAGGTCATGGGAAATCTTTAATGAACGTCCCTTCCAATTCCAGCCAGGAGCACTTGTACTGTATCTTCCACTGAGAATATTTGGTGCTTTGCAGGCAAGCAGAAAGCAGGCTTAAGCATCCCTATGCCTGTTTGGAATCTGTTGCAAAACTGGAAAGGAAAAAAACCGCTCTGTGTGCGTGCACAACTGCATTTCCCAGTGGGATGCGGCTCCTTTAAAATGAGCTTTGCCAAACTATAAAAAGCTCACAAAGGCCTCCTACACAGATGCTTGGTTTTGAAGCGGCTTGTTGTTGTTTTTCACGCAACCTGCCTTTTTCTGAGCCTGAGCTGACCTGACAGTGGCCCTAGTTTCACATCCCTCCCTTGGAGCTTTCAGCAAGTTCTCATGGATGATGCTAAGCAGCCCCTGTGGCAGGCTTCCCCTTCCCCCAGTTTTTCCCTTCCACTTCCCTCACTGTAATTCGACCCTGGCTTTCAAAGGAGAAGTTTGCCCTTCGCAAAAAGGCGCGTGTGCCTTTATCAGAGGAGGGTTTTGGCCCAGCCACTTTGACTCTTTTTTGTAGAGGGAGGAAGTGGGGTGTAAATAAAACAATATCCATCATAATAATACCCATATTTACTCAAATTTAATGCTTTTGGGGGGCTAAATTACCTTCCCAAAATTAGGATGTGCGTTAGATTTGCATATTTATTTATCGTATCAGGAGCGAACCAAGAATACAGCTGTAAAGTATTTTTTTTAAAAGCACAGAGTTTGCAAACTTGGCATTCTATTAAAAGTCCTTTGTCCAGTAGCTAGCCACTTGGAGTGCCTCCGGTGTTGCGGTAAGAAGGTCCTCCGTTGTGCATGTGGCAGGGTTCAGACTACATTGTAATAGGTTGCCTGTGGTTTGCTCTTCTCCACACTCGCATGGTGTGGATTCTACTTTGTAGCTCCATTTCTCAAGGTTGGCTCTGCAACTTCTGGTGCCAGAGCGCAGCCTATTCAGTGCCTTCCAAGTCACCCAGTTTTCTGTGTGCCTAGGGGTGAGTCTCTCGTTTGGTATTATTTATTTATTTATTTACATCTATATGCCGCCCTTCTCACCCCGAAGGGGACTCAGAGCAGCTTACAAGGTATATATACATACACTACACTATACTATTAGCATAGTACAATATCAGCATTATACACTGCAATATTGTACTATATCAATTATATTGTAATGTTATTAGCAGTTGTAATATTATTAGTAATATTACATGTAATAATATATATATAATTACAATATCAAATTATTATTAGTAGTAGTATTAGTATTATATTGCATTACATTATAATATCATAAATATTATATAAATAAATATCAGCCATGGATTGAGATTCCAGATTTTAGCCTGCCTCTTTTGGACTCTTGCTTGCTGAGGTGTTTATGCAAGTATTTCTGTAAATTTTAGAAAACTATTTCTTGATTTAAGGCATTGGCATGCTGGCTGATATCCGAACAGAGGATGGGCTGGATATGTCACTGCCTTGGTCCTTTCACTGTTGGCTGCACCTTCCATGCGGATGTCAGATGGTGCGATACCGGCTAAACAGTGTAATTTCTCCAGTGGTCTTGGATGTAGACATCCTATGATAAGGCAGCATTTCTTATTAAGAGCCACATCCACTGTTTAAATGTGGTGAGATGTGTTCCACACTGGGCATGCGTACTCAGCAACAGAGTAGCAAAGCCCAAGGGCAGATGTCTTCACTGTGTCTGATTGTGATCCCCAAGTTGTGCTAGTCAGTTTTCGTATGATATTGTTTCTAGTGCCCCTTTTTTCTTGATATTTAAGCATAAGTCTTAGTGCTGAGCCAAAGCAACCGGTTAAACTACTTCAGGAGCTTTTTGAGGGATGTCATCTGTAATTTAATTGCCATGGCGCAATGCTACACAGTGCTGAGATTTGTAGCTTGTTTGGGCATCAGCATTCTTTGGCGGGCCCTATGACCCCAAACGACAGCCCCCAGGATTCCATAGCTTTGAATCAAGGCAGTTAAAATGGATTCATTTTATAGTACAGGTGTTTCAATCCTGAAAGCTTGGGTGTTCTCTCACTTTTGTTTTTAAAGAAGGAATTGTAAGCATGCAACCACTGTAATGTGCACCTTTTTTGACCAAATTACATTTGGCAGCCATTTTTTGTGGTTTCAGGGTTTTGGAAATTGTGCGTGTTAGATTTGATGGTGCATTAGACTTGAGTAACTATGGGTAGTAATAATAATAATAATAATAATAATAATAATAATCTGCAAACACTTCATGCTGCTCCTGTGACCTACTCCCCATGTGTGAGGCTTCCTGTTCCTACATGCAAAAAGGAGTTTGGGCCTATTGTTGAACATGATTTCAACAATTCCTGCTTCTTGGCAGGGGGTTGGACTGGATGGCCCATGAGGTCTCTTCCAACTCAATGATTCTATGATCTAACAGTGTGATGCTGCAGCAAGGCTATTTTGGCTCACATTCGTTTAATTTCCAAGTTGAGCTGGATAATAGT